AAACTGCAATTTCTCTTCGAATAAGAAAAATTAAACTGAAGACTTTTGTTAAATGGGAAAACGTGCTTACTTTTCAGAGATAACGGATTTCAAGATCCTAATTAAAGAGAAACTTCAAGGAACCGTTCGTTCGATTTACCAATGCATCATTATAATTTCACCAAACTATAAACCATTTCTGAACAAGTGCCAATTTAAGTTCATAGAACGGTATAGATAGAATGCACCCGCCCCTTGGCGAAACTGTCCTCGCTTTAGGAATCCAAACCAGGCAGATTTGTGAGACCTATTGTAATGAAGCGAAAACCGAAACTCTCTAAGCTCACAATTTCAGTGTCCGTTAATTCAATTTGAACCTGCTTTAGAAAAGTTGACCTTTTCACCTATGATGCAGGGTGAGCAGATCTGTACCGTGAATGGGTGCATCACTGGTTTGATTTTCCGCGGAACATTGCTGGACTCTAAAAAGGACTTTGTTACAATCTTCGCGTAAAACCGCAAAAATTATGAAGGACAGGGGTCAATTTGCTGGAGTTTTATCCCTGATTTGAGGCAATTACGTATAACGCGTTATTTTGTGCAATTTGATCAAATTTAAGAGAGAGAATTTTTTTAATTCTAGTCAAACAAAAAGTATTATGTAAAGGGTAATAGATATGTATATATTATTAAATAATATTCCTTTTTATTATTAAAATATTTTATTTCACAAAGCCCGATGCTGTATTGGTTATTTTCAAACCAGTTTGCAAAGATTCTTCACTTAAAGAAATACCAAGTTAATTTAACTAGTTTGCCAAGAAAAGCGTTTGTTGTGATTAGTGATCATGCTGTTTACTAGATATAGTGAGTAGTAGGTGTAACGTGGAGCGGGGGTCATATAGATACCTACTAACCTAGTGAAAATTACTTATCAATTCTAGATATACTAAAGTTATCTAGTAAATCTACTCAATACCTAGTAAAACTACTTTTAAGGTAGTGATTATATGGACAGTAAATTTACTAGTCTTTTTAGTGACTTTCATTATTTTTTTTCAGTGTTGTTAAGTTTCAGAGGCTTGACTGATGAACGCAATACTTAAAGCTGATAGTCAATGCATACAATTTTAGATGTTTTCTGTTTTATTACAATGCATGCCCCCTGGTAATAAACTTGATTTTCTTTTTACAATGATAAATCCTTTGATAAGCGGGTACGCAAATATTTTAACATGTCAGATGTGCCAAATAAATGTTTTCCTTATGAATATTTCTTTTAACTTTTTTTCTGCATAGTTTATATTTTTGATTATGTCTGTTGAATGTTTTTGGATTAAGCAAATAAATGCTACTGTAAGGGCCTTAAAGTTTAATATGTTTAGTGTGCTATTGCTTTAAAACCAGTCCATTATGAACCGACACAAAAGCTTTTCAATATTTTGTATTAAAGATTTTATAATAATCATAGTTGAATTAGCATAATTTATTTACTTATATATTCCTTGCAGACATGAACAGGAAAATGAATGAAAGTATGCATTATCATCCATGACCTTGTTTGCTGGGTTACATAACCCGGAGACATCGATGTTTTAACTGAGGCTTCAAGTTGAAATCTATAAGTTTGAATCGAAAATTTTAACCTTGTAAATAAACTCTCATTACCAGCAAAAATAAACATTATAAGAAAGTAATCCCCCTTCAGCAAATCAAGGAAAATCCTAGACAACATCAAACGTTATATAAATACTTTGTACTCTTTTTTACGAGGGCCGGACAATTAGTATGTTTGTTTTCCAGAAACGCGATCAATTTTCCCCTCACCCCGACAGTTAATTCCTATCTCGTGCCTGGCCATACACTCTGGATATTAAACTGAAGAAAACTACCCTCTCTATACCCACTAATTAGTTCTGAGGGCTCGGACAATGTCCTTTTTTGCAGCGCGCCTATTGCTTTGTAAAATAGAGGGTCTTCGGCGGTCAAGCCGCGCGATGCCCGGACCGTGGTCACCAGTGGTCAGTTCTTCGGACATGACCGTTAGAAACTGACCCGACTCCGGCCAGGTCGAGCATCGGTAGGTGTCCAATGTCAATTTCAACGACAGGTGAAGTCAAGTTGCCCCGATGCAGGTGAAATCATCCCCTCCTTTCTTTGATATTTTTTTTCTGAAGAAAATGAGGAGACAACGGCGAAGAATTTGAAAGTTCGTTTTTATTGGTGGGTTTTATTAATGGGGGTTCCTTTAGAGAAGAATGAGTTTTGGAGATTTCTTTTTAGTTTCAAAAGGCATCATGAAGGGTACAAATTAAATAATAAAAACTTTAAAAAGATCTAAGGGATAATGACCATCGGTCAGTCTTGGTCAGTGGCGGGCAGTCTAGGGACACACGGGTCAGGCTAGGGATGAAGCTCTTTATGAAATCATACTGAAAACAGGGCAGGTGCCCGGTAAGCCAGGATCTTGTAGAATAATATTTTTACAAGAGCTCTGGACATTCCGATCATCTATTTTCACTGATTGCAACGATTCCAATGATCTTTAAACAAAGTAAAATCGCTGAAAATACGCATGCCAAAGGAACATAGGCAAATATAATTTAACTATACATGTAAAGAAGCATTTTCTCGCTTTTCCAAGTTAGTACTCAGTAATCCAAAAATGACAGAAACCGACAAATATCGCAGAAAACAAGATGGAAAAAAAATATGGAATATTTCTATGGAATTATATCCAGTGCACGTTTTGCAATGCATTATCCAAAAGGGCATCGTAAAGAACTAACATCTTTATTAAGATAGATTAATTTTTAAAACATCCACCACAATGGATTTTATTATATCTAAAGGCAACGATCCTTATCTTAATTTTTTCTCTTTTTGATGAACCTTTATAGACAAAGACAAGGTTATCTTGAGCATCGCAGGTGAAGTTTCAAAAAACGGCATCCACGACACGACATCATCTCGCGAGATTTTATCGAGGATTGGAGAGGAGAAGACGCGGTTATATTGCTTGTCTTTCGATGGGGAATATTCGACCTCTGGTTGGCCACTTTTAAGTAATGGTCAATTGTGAAAGAAAGCTAACTACACCATTAACGCTATATAAAGCATTCTAATGATATGCCGTAATATAAAGTATGATTTAATACTGTTTTATGGCCAGCAGTCCAACCAATTTCTAAGACTAGGCCCGGTGTTTCGGTCGCAAGCATCAATCAATTTAGAGACTGGATCGCCAGCGCTCAAGATTTGAATAATGTTAAAAACAGTTTCGTCACCATGTCTTTGATTGTGGTTTACGATAGCGAATATATCGTCCAAAAGAAATAAAACAGGAAAATACAAGCATAAACAGCGATGCTTATCTACATTAAAAAAGAATGCCAGACAATTGGTTGGCGAGATTTCTTGTGCCAGCAGCTGATTGGATGATAGATAGGATTATGTAAATACAGAGTGGTGTAAATGTTTAGAAGTTTGCAGGTGCTGTATTTAAACTCTAAGATCCTGAACATAATCCGAAGAGAAAGTGCCTTAAACAGGACGAAATTTGTTTTACTTCGCCCTCTGTCAGAAGCAAAGAGGGACAACCCCAGATTACAAAAAAGTTTAACTTCAATTTTTAAAAAAAAAACAAAAAAAAAAAACGCTGCTTATTGAATTTCCTGAAAACATGAAAGAAATCATATTTATCAATATTAAATTTTTATGGACTGACAACAAGTCAGATAATATAAGTTTTTTGAAGATTTGCATAGTATACTATAAATATCTAATTTATATCACCTTGTGATTTCGAAACCATTTTCAAATTGTCCAGAAAAAATAAATTAAAAAAGTGATAGGCCTATCAGCGATTCAAGTGATTTCATATCAGATTATTGTATATAATAACATATATAAAATGTCTGGTAATTTTTCTCAACTAGTAATATCTCGATTTATCTACAATAAGTGCATTTGATATTAAACAAATTTGATGCATGGTTTAATGTATATTTTGACTGAATTTTAATGGAAATGACATAAATAATTATTCCCTAAAATATATTTAAAAAATCGTAACTTTTCTTTGATAATTAGATATGCAACTTTGTATCGTTTTCTATGTAATCCTATACAACATTTTGCACATTGACATTGTGACACAATCTTACAAAATTATCCCTTTTCACCTAAAAAATATAATTCAGGTTACCTATTTTCATAAAAATCTATTAGAAACATTGCAAATTTCTGAAAAAAAGGTTTGTGTTATTTATTCTTAAGCGAATAAATAGTTTTTAAGTTATTTTATTTATTGAAGACTTGTATAAAATTCCTGCTTGTCACTCAATTTGTCGCGGACGCACGTGTACTGCAGTGTTTGATTTCGGGAGATTTCTGTTCAGTCCGAGTATTACGAAATTCGCAGCTGGAGCAAAACAGAAGGTGCGAGTCTGTTTAATATTTTTGGTTCTTTTCGTCCTAATCATCAAATATACAAGAAAAAATGCAATATGGATAAAACGCAATATATAAACATAGGATTTAGCGCTGTCTAATGTCAACACGATTGTACGAGATACCCCTGCATGCGTCACTGGCAGCTATGATATTGTAATATAAACAATTAATTTCTATTAATTCTTCTCATCTTAATCTTGGGGAGAAATTGGTTTATTTTTCTATTATTCAAAACACCCCAATTCACACGGATTCCAGCCCGAGCCAATTCGTAAGAACAACACATCCACACGAAAGATATGAAACCCGAACCGTTTCCGAGCGTCCTGAAGCTTTCATCGTACCAACCAACATCAATCTAGGCGAACTCGTCGGCACAGCGCGAGATATAAAATGATTACCTCTGTTTATAATTCCATCATATATATTTAAAGATAGGAAAGATGATTGCAAATTGACTAAGCTACTTAAATACTTCAGTTAAGCCCTCGACTGCCATGACAATTTATATATACAGGAGAGGGATAAAACAATTGATGGATAATTAGTTAAAACAGACGTAAAGAATGGCGTGTGATACCTTCGCTGCCATGGGGGAATATTTTGAGCAGTACAGTTACTCTACTTTTGAGGATGTCCAGTCGGGATGGAGTGAGTACAGTGACCATTACGACGTGGACCAGCAATATGACAATGGAATTACGTATGACATTCCAGTACAACATGAGTACTATTATGAACAGTCAGGTGAGCATAAGTATCTCAATCAAGAGGTGTCATCTGGAACGGTCGTGTGTTATGACTTTGGACTGGAAACCAAGCAAAACCAGGAGAAAAAGTACCCGGATAAAACAAAACCGACAGATATGGTCAGACTAGGAGCCACCGTGCGCGAGAGAAACAGAATGCATATGCTGAATGATGCCTTCGATGAACTTCGCAAAGCGGTTCCGAAAAATAACTTGGGTGAGCATCAAAAATTGTCAAAAATCGCTACTCTGCGACTAGCGATTCGATACATCTCGTCCTTGACCAAAACTCTGAGAGATGCAGGGGTGGAAGTTCGTATTGTGAGGAGTTCGGGAATCACAGACCGTAGAGGAAAACGACGAGGAGTTCGAAGGCCGGCTGTAGAAAAGACACCAAGGTTTTCCGAATAAATGCCTGAAAACTTAATGACTTCAATAATCATTTAGTTAATATTTCATCAAAATAAAAATGAAGAATTCAAAATTACCGCTTCAAAGAGAACTAACCGAATACTTCTTAAAAAAGTGACGAAATTTGCTTTATGATATAAATCATAAGAGAACTGGATTACATCGTTAGATGTTGTAAAGGCATAGACAGGTCTAGAACTTCACAAGAGACTGTGCAAAAGCGGGCTATTTTGAGCTATATTTACACGGTGGAAACAATTTAATATGTCATTGTTTTGAACTGCAATATGATACTCCTGAGAACATCGTTTGTAATGTAATATAAAGCACTGGATTGCAACAAAGTAATAAAATAAAAGGTATTATAAAAGTTGAACCACTTGATTACCTTTGCCATACCTTAACGTAATGAATAAGTTTACGTTTTTATTTTCATATATTGCCTTTTTCTGCTGAAAGATATCCCCAAACATCGTTATGCTAGAGCATTAAAAATCATTACAAGAGATAAGAATTTTACAATTTTCAGTATTTTTCTTCATTTTTGGTGCTAGCTGTAGAACCTTATCTATCTGGTTGCTAAAATTCGGACAGAAAAACCAGAGAGTGACAGATCCAAGCATTGTGAAAACCTTCAATTAAGGTGATTTTTTTTGTCGCTCCCTTCGGGTATTATTTCTTGAATAATATGCCTTCCCACTCTTTAAGCATAATATCATGGATTGTCTGTCTTTCTGTCTATCATGGATTGTCTGTCTTTCTGTCTATCTGTTCAAGTATAACTTTAACCTTACCCGTATCTTAGATCATCTAATCAGGGCTTTCGTATTTCACATAAGTATTCATTGTGATATTTGTTTTGGGTATATACCAATATATCTTGGATTTTAAAATTAAAGCACTTTTTCATTTTTTCCCATGCACAAACTTTAATCTGGGTCATAACTTTTGAACAGTTGATGATAGGGTTTTCATATTTCACATGAAAGATAAGTTTATTGTGAACTATCTTTCCTTGGCTTTTGAAATTTTTTAACCTCTTGATTCTTAGCTTTGAGCACGACCTACTTTTGAAAAACTTTAATAATAATCATTTTTTTTTTAAATCTATTTATTCCTCTTGACAAAAATTTTCTTCGGTACCACACTTTTTAAAACTCTTGGCCAAGATTTCTGAATGGGTAATTAAACACATTTTTGAAGTTGGAGGAAAATTATTTTAAAAATTGCAATATTTTTATGCGACCGAATTAATTCGGGGCACATACTGTTTTCGTCCCGTCTGTCTGTTTATCTGTCTGTTGTCAACTTTAATCTTCGCCATAACTTTTGAACCATGAGAAATAGAGATTTCATATTTGGTATGCATACTCCACTAATTAAGCACTTTCAACTGACACCAAGGTCAATGACCTTGTGGCCTTGACTGTGATCTATATGCTAAAAATAGCTTTTTTTCCCGAATTTTCGCCATAACTTTTGAACCATAGAAGATAGAGACTTTATATTTGGTATGCGTTCTTTACTAAGTAAATGCTTTCAAACGACACCAAGGACAACGTGGGACCTTGACTGTGACCTATTGCTTTTTAGAACTTTGTTGCCGCCGGGCGCATAGCGTTTTACAAACACATCTTGTTTTGAAATATGGAATTAATGCATATTATACTTTGTAATGGAAGAAAATTTACAAAAGTCAAAGTACAGGGTTCCCTCAAAGTCTCAAATATTTCATACACTATACATGCTGTAAAAAAGCTAGACACAAATGTAAAATATGTGCATATACATGTACAGTTATTTTTAGATAATATTTAATATAAAACAACTTTGTCTTTTCATAAAATCGTATGAAACACGGCAATTGGATTAATCCGTACAAATTATGTATTACATATAATAATTAATTGACCGTTTTGACGGCACCACGAAAGACGTCCGTAACACGTGGGATAAAGATTAGTTATGAAGTAGTAAAGAGCATTATGTACATTGTACCAATTACAATATACGTACAATGCATGTAATAGAAACTATATAAAATTGTAGAGCAATATACGTGTATTAATAAACATAAAGGAAATGTATACCTATCCATATGTAGTTTATTGCACAGGATCGCTTTATTCTTAATGGAATCATGACGAAAATCAAATAAAAACATAAAAGTGAATTAACATTGGTGTAACAACTAAATAAGGGTGTTTTAAAGACAATTATGATTTTAAAACGTTATGACGATCGCCCGTTTGATCCTCTTACAAATCAGTTTAAGTGATAGCTATAAGAGGTAATAGATTGTTTTACTTATAAGAAGATTGACAGTTGTTTAATTAAGATGATTAAACCCTCTTACGATCCAATTAATGACATTCTAAAAATAAGAAATACAATGCTTAGCCGTAAAGAACAAAGAATTTTCAAAAGCAGAATGGTTGATGTGCAATACACATGTACCTGTGATGTAATGTATGCTTCTGTTGATACCCAGCTGCTATACAAATATATTTGTTAATCACTTCAATGCAACCAACCAAGTGAAAATGTATATTGAAATTCAACAAACAACATAATGTATTTGACTGATGCCCCAGTATGGCAGCTTATGTCAAAGTTTTTCAATTAAGGAATAACTCTAATTTTCGATTTCATGATGTGATAAATCGATTGGTTTGCGCGTTTATGCATAAAATTATCACGCAAGCCAATCGACTGATCATCGTCATGAAATTAAAAAAATTGACAGTTATTCCTTATATTTCCATGCTTTGATTTCGCCAATCCACGTGCTCCAAGCCCTGCTTCTGTCTAGCTGTTTGTCCCACTTTGCACGTGTTTTTTTTTTAAACTGCGCCTAAATACATTGATGGGGAAATAAAGTACATTTACAATTTGTAATTTTATCTCGGACAAAGACATTGGAAAAGTAAATATTTGCAAATCAAACTCCAAGGTCAAGAGATTTAAAATGCTGTTACGCAAAGAAAGGACTAAATATACAACTCGTATATACAGTTAAACTCGTTTAATACGAACAAGGATACTGCGAATTCACGGATATAGCAAAGTCATCTTTGATCCCCAGCTATGTAAAGAAATAACGCACGCTAACTCTCGATTCCCGCCTACATTTTGGAACCATTTAATTCAAAATGAATAGCAATTTGGCCGTAAAAGCTTTGTTTAATACAAAGAACAGTTCAATGGTAGTTGATGAATTGTCTTTAAAATACCAGCGCTAAACAGTAAATTATCCATAATTCCAGCTCTTGAAAAAAGGGGAGTAGACGATATTTTCCATTGAAATCGGAGTTTCAGGCAGCACCATATTTTGAAATAGTCTTGGATATGATTAAATGTTACTTATATTTTTTCTTTTGTCTTAGGCAAATAAATAAAACAAGAATATATCAATAAAATATTATGTTTCAGTTGTAAATCGCTTTGAAATTGGTGGAAAATAAACATTTTTATAGTTTTTTGTCAATAAACATATGTTCCCCCCTGTGTCACACAAAAAGCTTTGGTATGTATTTGTGAAATAACATTCCATATTACCTGTAAAAAGGAATTTTTATGACACGGGGGGAAAGATGTTTTAAAAATATTTTCCGTTGATTTCTATAGTGAAAAACGCAAGTTTTACCAAAATTTTAGAGTTATCTCTCTTTGTTTTCCCAAATAAGAAATGTTTTATGAAAATCCATATAATTATCTATAAAAAAAAATATTAAAAATTCATCGAATATGTTAACTTTTGAAAGTTGACTTGGAGGTAGGCGGGAGAACAATACTATCGTTCGCAGTTCTTTAACGAATTCTTTATACGGATATAGCAAAGTAATTTCTTAGGTCCAAATGACTTCGTTTTGACCGAGTTCTGTACCTGGTAAAAATGAAAGATCAAGCATCAACCATTCAATAGTTGTGGTCAATGTTGGTTTCTAAAAGTGGGTCAATTCCAAGGTCAAAGGATAAAAATTATTGGTTAAAGGGGAAAACCTAAGAAATACACATGTAAAATATAAAAGCACTAGCACCAAGGCCATCTTTAAAATAATGTTTGTTTGCCATATCCAGATTCGAAGGGGAAAAAAGGGTCGCCAAGTAGGTTGTATTTTTTTTTAAAAAGAAAATTTCAATAGAAGAGCTTGTTAAAAAAGATTCTGGTGGGAAATCAAAAAAAAAAAAAAATAATAATAATAATAAAATTATCAGCAAAATTAATGATAACCATAAACCAGACTCTGGCTATGACCAATAATTCTTTACAATTAATCCTCTTTAAATTCAACATTGGAGTCAGAATGACTGTCGCTCGCCTTTGTTCTATCACCTTCAGGTGTTTTCTGACTGAAGCTTTGCACTCTACCAATGGCCTCATCCTTTGTGTGTCCTTGAGGGAGGGGGAAGTCGAATACAATGGGCGGATGCACTGGTCTGTACTGCAGGGTACAGGTAGAGGCATTAATGTATGTGGTGATACCATCAGTGGAACATCCATATGCTAGAGAAAAATATAATAAAACTCTGGATTCAATATACCGGTATTAATATTAGTTCTGGATTCAATATATTAGTTCTGGATTTCAATAAATTCATTCCAGATTCAATATATTAATTCTGGATTCAATATATGTATATTTATTCTGGTTTCAATATATCAATTCTCTTTCGATTCACAAGCTTCCTTTTCTCAATTTACAGTAGACATTTTCCAGAAAATAATACATATGATACATTTGAAATTCAGTCAATACGGTAGATTACTAAAAACTAAAGATAAGTTTTACCTTCATGAATGTGTCCAAATACATGGTACTTTGGCTGAACACGTTTCTGAACTGTGTTGAGAAGTTCCAAACATCCGGCTCTCACTCCATCATAACAAAGATCCCCATGACCTAAAAAATATTCATTTCTAGCTATTTTACAATTTTGGGGGTACCTAAGAGTTTAATTTTTATCCCCTAAATGACCCTATGCAGGTCTGAAGATCGAATTCAATTGCGGATGTCAGGGCACTTATTTTCAGTGTTACAGCCAAATCATTTTCAAGGTCATTTTTGTCAAATCATTTAATGTCCATGAAAAATATTTTAGTGTCAGTGAGTGTTAATTTTTATATAAAAGGTTGATTTTAGGTTTGTTTGGAATTTTCAATGCAATACTTTGTAAACATGTCAAAGAAAAATGTTTTAGGGAACTTTTGAGGCACTGATCAAGTTAAAGCATTCATACCTGAGTAACTAGGGATATAATTATTATAAAATACATGGTATTATAAAATACATTTTATTAAAGAAATTATTTTTGATTCATGAAAAATAAAATACGCCTACATCTTTATTACATTTTAAAGAGACTTTTGATCTTTTCAACACCTGAGACAACACTGGCTAAAAAACTGGATGGTTCCAAAAATTGTGTTTAATTTGTGCATCCTCAGGTAAATACTGTATAAGGTATCCAATCCATAAAAGGACATAATTTTCTAACCTTAAATATCCATCCTGTATTAAATACTATGAAACTAATTCAAAGCAGTTTAGAATAGAAAAGAATTTACCAGGAGAAATTTTCAGAAATATAATTATGCGAGGAGGCTTTAATTAATTAAGAATGCATTGGGTCTATGGGAACAAGCACATTTTTTAGAATAAAAATTCAAATACTATGAATATAAAAAAATGCTATGGTGGAAAGATGCATATAATATATTCACATCAAAAATGATTTTAAAAAAATTTCACAAAATTTAAAAAGTAGGTCACCGTGCATATATTGTTTTTGTCCTGTCTGTCTGTTTGTTTATCATCAACTCACAAGATTTGATGATCCTATAACTTTTGAACAAAATATAAGATTAATTGTAAATTTAGGTCAACTTTGATATAGCTGCAGATCTGTAGCATTATGGTTTTATATATTTGTCTTTGACCATAACGCTACAGATCCCGTAGTGCAAAAAAGGTGCAATTTACGGCGCAATATTTTTTGCGCTCTTTTGGGGAGAATTTCTCCACTTTCCAGCATCGTTCAATCAACTACCTTTCAACCCCTAATTCTAGACACATTATTTAATTAATCTGTATATTTTATCCATCTCCCAACCCTTTATAGTCGTCTCTACAAGTGATAAACTTGCTTGATTAAAATTATTTGTTAGATTACTGAAAATTCATATCCAGCGAGTTTATTGCCTGTAGAGACAACTATAAATGGTTGGGAGGTAGATAAACTATACATAATGATATTGGCCGCAGAATGTGTCTAGAATGTGAAAGGTAGTTGATTGACCAAAGCTAGGAAGTGGAGAAATTCTCCTCAAAAGAGTGCAAAAAATATTGCGCCGTAAATTGCACCTTTTTTGCACTACGGGATCTGTAGCGTTATGGTCAAAGACAAATATATAAAACCATAACGCTACAGATCTGCAGCTAAACTTTGAAGTGACCTTGAGACCACGCCCTTTGCCCCAGGGTAATTCCCCATGCAAATTTTAATCTTTGACATATCCTGATCCTTGTATGTAAGTTTGGTGAAAATCTGCCTGGTGGTTATGGAGAAGAAGATTTTTTAGCAACCAGTACTTTTGGTTTTGTTTTCCTGATTATCTCCCCTTGTTTAAGGGTCCCAACCCTTATTTTAGTATAAATCGTAGCCCTTGGGCCAAGGATACCCTGTGACAAATTTGGTACTGATTGGCCCAGGGGTTCTTGAGTTATGGCCCATATTCTAAAAAGTTTACGCACACCGCACAAATGGCCATAGCATTAGCTCTTTGAGCCTTTGGCTCAGAAGAGCTAAAAAGTTTCAAGTCATTTTTTAGGTAATAGGTCGGGAGAACTCAGAAGTCTAACAAACAAATTAGGTCAAACTCCAAGGTCAAGGTCTAAATTGTTGGTATTCAAAGGAAGGTCTTGTCACAAGGAATTCTGACCAGTGAAGTTAGAAAGCCCAAGTACTAACTGTTAAAATGTTATGGCCAAGGTTATGTTTTTTAAAAGTGGGTCAAGCTCTAAGGTCAAAGATAAAAGAAATTAGCATTTAGCACCCATGGAAAGGTCTTGTCACAATAAATACACACATGAAATATGAAGGCCATTGCACCAACTGTTCAAAAATAATGTCCAAGGTTAAAGTTTGGTAAATTCTTGCAAAAGAGGCTAAAAATCACTTTAACACATTACCCATGTTTTAGGCCCTGTATCAAAGATTTGGGGGTATATATTTTATAGATATAGCATTTACCCTGACCGTCTGTCTGTTTGTCCACAAAAACCTTTAAGTTTGCCCATAACTTTTAATTGAATGGAACTGTGATTTTCATATTTCACATGTGTATTCCTTGTCTTAAGATCTTTCTTTGTATATGAAAATATTTGAATCTTGACCTTGACTTTTGACCAATATTTGCTAAATATTCCAAACTTTATCATGTATTGGTCACAATCTTTAAAATAGTTCGTGCTAGTGCTCTCATACTTGACCTGTTTATTCTTTGTGATAAAATTACTTTGAATACCAAGTTTTGACCTTGGAGTTTGACCTAGTTTTGCTTTGAAAAAAAAATTAACCCTGGCCATTCCTTTTGAACGTATAATTCACTTATTTTTTTATGCCCCATAAAAGAAGTTTTGTGGATAGTTTTTGTCCGGTCCGTCCATCTGTTTGTCAGCAAAAACTTTAACCTTGTCCATAATTTTTCAGTGGGTGTGGCTACGGCTTTCATTTTTCACAGGTGTATTCCTTGTGACTAGACCTTTTTTTAGGGTACTAATACTTTTGACCTTTGGAGTTTGACATGCATTTGAGAAGATTCAACCCTTGCCATAAGGACATCAGTGTTTCACAAACACATCTTGTTTGTTACAAGACCTTTCCCTGACCCTCTTACCTTGAACTTGGAATTAGACCAACTTAAAATAAACATTAGCCTTTGCCATACTTTCGGCTTGTGCTTGGGTTTTCATATTTGACAAATATATTTATTAAGACAAGTCCCTCTTTGGGTAACAAAAATATTGCATTTGAGAAACATTATCCTTTGGCACAAGCTGACATCAGTGTTTTACAAACATGCTATGATATCTAGCATGAAATCAAGAATACAGCAGACTTCAGCTTGATAGAAAAATTTAGATCATAGGGAGGGTCAGGGTCGGCAACATAGGAAAAACAATTAAACAGTTCCACCTATGTATGTAGTTTGATGAAAATCTTTTATATAAAACTGCAAAAATGCAAATCAGTTACTCGTAGTAATAGTAAGGTCAAAGGAAAGTCAAGTTTTGAAATTCTGATACAGTGAATATCTCTTGTAAATGATCATCTTAAGATCATAGGGAAAGTCAGGGACGGCAACATAGGAAACAAATAAACAGTTTCACCTATGAATGTATTTTGAAGAAAATCTTTTATATAAAACTGCACAAATGCAAATCAGTTACTCGTAGTAATAGTAAGGTCAAAGGGAAAGTCAAGTTTTGAAATTCTTACAGCGAACATCTCTTGTAAATGATCATCTTAAGATCACAGGGAAAGTCAGGGACGGCAACATAGGAAACAAATAAACAGTTTCACCTATGAATGTATTTTGAAGAAAATCTTTTATATAAAACTGCACAAATGCAAATCAGTTACTCGTAGTAATAGTAAGGTCAAAGGGAAAGTCAAGTTTTGAAATTCTGATACAGTGAATATCTCTTGTAAATGATCATCTTCATATAAAATTGAAGTAAAGATCTTGAAAAGTTTCTTTGTAAAATAAGATAGATGCAAAATAAGGCATAAAGCTTGACTAAACTTCCAACCTCATGACCAAACATCTTTTGTTTCAAGTTTGTTAGCCAGTGGCCCTGGATAAAAATGTGTCAATTTTATGGATGATGATGAAAACAGTGACTCGATTGATGGTTAAATAATACAATAAAATCATTTTACTTTTATTGTAATACCATCAAAAAGATATAATGGTACATTATGCTATGCACTTACTGCACAAAAAAATATGATATACATACATGCAAAGTAATCAGAAAACTCATAAAAAATACTTTGTACATCTAGCACTAAGTTCCTATTAAAATAATAGCATTGTACAATATAAAGCATTCAGTGTCAAAAAAAGGCCCAGGGACTACACTGCTTGCTCGAGTATCTTTAACCCCCGCTGTCTATCAGAGTTGAAAAGATTTTAATATGCCTTTAAATAAATTGTGACCCCCATGTTACAGCTCCATTCAAACTATAAGGAGTCTGTCTCTAATTCTCTCAACATGATATGCTTTATTATGACTTTAAAATCCTTGGTTTTATGAATTAAATAATTCATTACCCTTGAAGAAATAAATTAAACAATTGAAAAATCTACATTGTGACAAGCAGTTTATAAATAAGTTTCATACTAAGTTTTTTTTTTTTAAAAAAAACCTTACATGTCACATTGTACACATGTATTAGAATGTAAAATTTGACCGTTTTGTTTGATAAAAGTAAAACTATATCTTGAATACTTTCTTTGAAATTGAGCTTAATGCAAAGTGCAATAGAAGAGCAGAAGATAGACATGGCAAACAATATATGCCCTGGCCATAATATTCAAAATAGGGCATACAATTTTTCCTATTCATAAACTTAACATTCCTATTTTTTTTCTAGAGATTCACAAGTGTACACTGCTCAATGCACTACTAAAATTCACCTTTCAGTCTTGCTGCCACAATAAACAATGTTAATTTGATCCCATTACAACGTATGAAGCCATGGAGAGAAATATAGAGAGGGTACCATTCCAGCTAGTGTATACATATGAAATAATAAAAATTATGCAATGTATTTGATAAGCCTTCAGTTTTTAAAATATTGTAATCTCTTGCATAGTTTTCTTTCTTTTCTTTCTTTCTCTTAAATCTATCTGCATTGTTATACCCTAAAGCCACTTTAGGTTCATAATGCAACTGATCAGCATCTTTTAGTCACACTGTATGACAAAAATGATGGACACTTTCACTTTCCATTTTTTAGTCCTGTGAAATATCACATCACTAAGTTTGCACTTCCTCTGAAAATGGCACTTTCAGACTACTCAAGAATTACCTGTTGTATGATTAAGAATTTCTTTGTTACTTTTTAAAAGCTACCATGGCATCTACTTTGTGTATACTGGTTGTGAAGGACCTCAGTCTCACTTCCTCAGAGTTAGCTATAAACTGAGGCCCTTCTTCACCCCAGGACTCGGGAACATCAATGTCTTTATCTGTATACACCAGCAAATCAAAGGCACCTGCAAAGAAGTACACATATATATATATATATTATACTTCCACACTGTGTAGACAACAATGTGTATTCAATTACAAGAGGCCCATGGGCCACATCGCTCAACTTAGCTCAAGGACTAGGAAAATGCACAAATCATTTCAGTATTAAAAAGTTAAATGGGGGTGGTGGGGAGGGGGGAGTTGAATTTTATACTAGTTGAGGATGCCTCCATATCAATATTGAAATAACTTGGCTGTTCTTGAGAAGATTTTTAAAAAGACTTCCTATCAATTACTATGTAAAAATTTGATCCTCAGTTGTGGTCCTTCTATCCTTGGAGGTCATGATTTGAGCAGATTTGAATCTACAGTACTTGAGGATGACTATATGACAAATTGTCAATATGACTAAATATACACATGCAGCTTATTTATTCTTGAGAAGATTTTTTTCCTATACTCTAATGTTAAACTTCGATCCCCTCTTTGTGTCCCTACCTACAAAAAAAGAATCTGAATTAAAGAGGCTTTAACAAATATTTATTTTTTTTTAGTGGTGTTTTAACATCAATTTGACCAGTGCAACAAGTTAAAATTAGAAATCTGAGTATATTTGACCTCCTATATGGCAGCCAATGGGAAATAACTCTTGTTTCATTCACGCCTATCAAAAACTCTCTATAATTTAAATAGGATTCTTTGGTAGATTGACTTACATGCTCCCTCTAGGAGAGGTAGGAATGTGACGGAGGCTGTGATCTGACGTATAACAGCACTGATCTCACTATTGATTTCCTTCTCCGACTTCTCACGAGGTTTACTACAAACACATCAAACATCAGAAAATTTTCTCCGCACCAAAAAAGTCAATATTTGCGATTCTGACTGAACAATGAAATTAAACCACAGAAACAACAATTAAAATCATTTTCTTAGTATGAATTTAAGCTTGATCTGATACAAATATTTAAATCAAACAACGAAGTTCATTTAATTATTATATATATATATATATATATATATATATATATATAACATGTATACACTAGAGAAAATTGGATATATATAATGAAACATTATGTTGTATGACATGGAGTTACCTTTCTTTTAATGCTGATTTGTCCCCCTCTACATCAAACTGCCACCTCTCTAGGACTTCATTTGTATCCACATCTTTAATGACGACTACCAATTTCTTAACTGTCATATTATACAGCCAATCTAGAGGTTAGAAAAAAGGTGTCCTGTTCAAATCAACAGATTACCAATAGGTCAAATTGACTCAAGTCATAACCTTTTACCACTGAAAAGCAATCTTGGCCAATTTCTGCAACCACTGTAAGATAATTTGAATAACCCTGTTCCATACCAGGTGTATTGCAATTTTTGTCTTAGCATTAGAAATCTGATACCCTTGGTAGAAATGCTTCAAATTACGCATCAATAAATAAATTTTAACATGTTTTAAAAGAAATAGCAAACACCCCTAACTTATAATGTATAATATAATGACAGAGTTCTTGAAATCTTTCGGTCCTGTCGGCAAAACCGATAAAAACAACCAAGGACCGATTACTTTCCATTCTTTTTCAGTCCAAATGACCGGACGGTGTTGACAGAAGAACTTGCGAAAAATTTGACTAAATTTCGTACGAATTCCCTATAATTGACCGATCGTAATCTTTCAAACTCTTTTTCTGCATGTTGTAATGGCTTCTCGATTTAATATAAGTGCAAATTTAGAGACAATATTCTATCGTTAAAATGATAAATGTCCCAGGGACCCGGTTTAATAATAGAATTTGTTCCGTATATTCACTATGTCACAAAATAAACACGGGCAATAACTCGAACTCAGTACATTTACTACGAAGATTCCAGAGAGTTCCGAATGCAAACGTGGCGCGTAAATTTAAAGCGAGAAAAAACGTAAAGAATATTAGTTGAATTATCATCTTTATTTAGATCATAATTTAGGTTTAAAGGCATACACGACCTAAAAAATGTTTGTTGTAACTAATTTTGAAGTTATTTCCAGTGCAAATCCTTTTGTATACTTCAAATTTGTTTCGGAGCAATTCTGTAATTATTTGCTACATTGCGAGTATAACTGTTGTGATGACTTGTTCCGAGACACAGATTATTCTAACTTGTGCCAAACTATTACAGTAACTATGATTGGTAAACTGTTAAAACAAGTTTGTTGACGGCGCTAGGGTAAGACGTGTGCAGTGTTTATAGACGCCATGTTTATTGATAATAAAATTTAAATACAATTTTCATGTTTTTATTGAATTTTTTTTTTGGACTGATAGAAATCTGTCTGGACTGACAAATTTCACATGGCAGTCGGTCCAAATGACTGACAGCGAAAAAAAGATTTCAAGAACTCTGTAATGATATACATTAGCCATGTTTATACCTACCTTTAACTTGTGAAATGACTGTATTTAGATACTTTTTTAACATGTCATCAGATGTGACCAGTAAGGTAAGACCATATTTCTGTACTCTTGTAAAACTCTCAGGTGGATAAATCCCTCTCTGGTATAATATACTGTTAATTCCATAGGCTGCAAATTAGATCAAAACTGTTTATGCAACAAATACTAATAGATGCTATAAGAAAAATCTAGTAAAAGCTACAAAATAGATGCACTTTTCAATATACATCACTACAACAGTAGCTAGTCAATCTTTTTTTTTATTGAGTACCTGTCACTTATTTGAAAAAAAAGAAGACTACTGCTATACTATCTCACTGATAACTCGAATACCATGGATATGTGATAGTGATTTCATCCTAACCACTTTTTCAAATGTATTTAAATTTTTAACCTGGAAACCTCAAATACTTAGATATCTCAAAGTTTGAAATGACCCATGAGACAGCGATTTTTTTCCAACCATTGGGAAAGGGTCCGGTACCCATTCAATTGGGAAAAATAACATAGAAGAAAAACAGAATTTTCTCTCGTTTATACAAATGCAACGTATTTTGCATTTATTCCAAATTAATTACCTATTACTCCTTGTTTTAAAGAACAAGCAACAAGTACTTATTGTTTTTTTATATCAACGTCCCATGTTTTCACATTTTCATGCTTTCAATTTGTCAAAATGTATGACACTGCACTGTCTAAACCACAGGCCCCGCCAAATTAAGACTTTCTCTACTTTCGTTTAAAGCGGAAGTGAAACAATTAGTCAACTTGTACAATGTTTCATTTAACAAGAAATACAATGTCGTCGTAGTCTGTTGCATCACAGTTGGATTGGGAATTTTTAGTCACAGAATTGGGAAAAAAATTGACGTTTTTTGGCATTGGGAATGGTGCCATTTATCTGTACCAGTTATATAAGGAAAAAAAAAACACTGTGAGATCATTTCAACATCTTATGAAAATATAATATCATGAATAGTTTGTTGATATATTTTCAACTAAATTACTGTACAATTATCCCTGAAATTTTTTAAGTTTTATGTAATTTAAGTTGCACAAGATTTTAAAAATTAAACAATAGGGAACGCAAGATTGCACGAGACTTTGAACAATAGAATCTCTGTTATTTATTAAATGCATTTTATCTCATCCCCTAGTCTATAACAGCAAGTGAGCCAAATGCCTCATAAAAATGATTTTTGTCTCGCCTGCGACGAATGTCGCGAAGCGAGACATAGCGACCATAGATTCCGTCGTCGTCGTCGTCGTCGTCGGCGTCCAACTTTTGGTTAACCCAAATGTCAAAGTTTTATAAACTGCAATAACTTTCTCAAATTTTATTCAGTCTTCTTGAAATTTGGACACAATATTCAGTATGGATAAAAATTTATATCCCAAGTATGATTTTGAAAAAAAAAATTCAAATTTTTCCGTATTTTTTCCTTAAGTTGGACTTAGTTTTTTCATGATAATTTATGGTGAAGACCTATATTCCAGCAACTATAAGTTATAGGGATATGATAATTAGTCAGTGGATACATCATGGGTAACCACAAACGTCAGTACCAGAATTAGGTCATCTTGACCTACATTTTTCTGCATGAGTGACTTTGGTTAAATTTTTGGTGGAGGTCCATATCTCAGCATCTATAACTTATAATGGCATGATGATTTGTCATTGTACAGGTTATAAGTAACCAACAACATCAGTACCAGAATTAGGTCATTTTGACCTACATTTTTCTGCATGAATGACTTTGGTTAAATTGATAATGGAGGTTCATATTTCAGCAACTATAACTTATAGTGGCATGATAGTTAGTCAGTGGATACATCATGGGTAACCACAAACGCCTGTACCAGAATTAGGTCATCTTGACCTACATTTTTCCGCATGAGTGACTTTGCATAAATTTATGGTGGAGGTCCATATCTCAGCAACTATAACTTATAGTGGCATGATAATTTGTCAGTGGATACATCATGGGTAACCACAAACGCCTGTACCAGAATTAGGTCATCTTGACCTACATTTTTCCGCATGAGTGACTTTGCATAAATTTATGGTGGAGGTCCATATCTCAGCAACTATAACTTATAGTGGCATGATAATTTGTCAGTCTACACATCATGGGTAACCAACAATATCAGTACCATAATTAGGTAATCTTCACCTACATTTTCTGCATGAATGACTTGATACATATACAGTGGATTTGATTTCAAAATGCAAGTTCAAATTATTGCGACTCATAACACGTTGCAATATTCGCAATAATAAAAACATCACAATATAGTCAGTCCAGATAGAAACGTTTTACAGTTCTTATTAAGTCCATGACAATATCTCTTTAAAAACCAGCAAAATGACTCGATCCACTTTTTGAGTTATTCCTTCTGAAATGTCAATAAATGCTTCAGTTTATCAGACAATCATTTCTTACTAACCACAGCGACAGCAGGCGACACACAGGGTTGCGGGCAACCCTTACGTACTTTTTTTGTTAAACAAAGCACTACTTCAGACTTGTCATGCATACTTAATCAAGTCTGAAAATGAAATTCATGTTTCTTTGACACTGCGACTATTTCCTCTCTTTTATTGACGTTCCTTGATGCTAATGCTTGGCATATGCCACTTTTCATTCATGCAAAGAAATGCAAGAAATATTATTCCTCACGTCACACTCACGTTTGCTGTAGGTTGTTTATTCCTGTTCATTTTAAAATGAAAAACTTTAAGTCTTGCTATAACCAAAGGGTATTATTTTGGACCCCCCCCCAATAAGGCACCGTCTTGGACTTGCTGGGATCAAACACTGACCCTTGTCTCATCGCCTGACTGAAAATTTAGTTACACCATACGGCCATGCATCACGGTTGAGATTCTTCCGAATGAAAAGCAAAAGATAGAGCATTAGAGTATAGTAAGGTGTATCAAAGAAACATATACCGTCTGGTTACTTACAAAAGAATTCAGCAACAATATCAGTGGAGCCTCTAAGAGTAATTGCATTCGACGTAGCAGTCGCTGCCATCGTTGATTTTCCCGCCGATGTGTTGTTATTTTTCCGTTTCCCGACCCCGACTCTCATAGGAACTGGGTAAAAGTAGATTCATTATAAGCAGCGTTTTATCTGCACATTAGACATTTTTATGCCCCGTAAACGAAGGGGATATATAGTTTTTGTCGTGTCCGTCCGTCAGTCTGTCTGTCTGTTTGTCCTCAAAAACGTTAACCTTGCCAATAACTTTTGCCTGAGTGGGACTGTTGCTTTCATATTTCACAGGTGTATTTCTTGTGACAAGACCTTTCTTTAGGAACCATCAAATTTGACATCTTGTCCTTAAGGGGGATGTACAAGCCATATTGGATCTAGTCTGGTGTGAAATAAGAAATACCAAGAATGCGCTTAATACTGTACTAAACTAGCCCAAAGTTACTCAAGTGCTAATGCACTAATTACATACTGTTAGAGACCAAAATTAGTAAATAATTAAGTTCATTTTGTTTTAATTAGGAGGAAATTAATCATGTTAGAACTGCGCAGCTACAGCATTCACGAGATGAAAAATGCATTGAAAATGGTGTTAGTTTGATTCATTGATAATATGGCTACAACCATTTGTTTCGTTTTTTTCTTGTCATTATCCATAATTCTTGAAAATTTGATTTTTCATATGGGTGTCTTCCTGAGGCCATGTGTTTATTTCGTCCGCCATTCCTCTGTCACAAAGAGTTCGAATAACATTGATTTTAGAATAAATGCGACCCTAATAACATCAAGACAAGAAATTACTAAGTTATAATCATTAGGTAATATTACTTACTACTTTTATTTGTTGCATCGCTTCGTCTGATTAATGAAAAAACGCGATTTTAACCCCACTCCAGCAAATCGGGAAAAACTGTTCTGTTTACAGCTCGAGTTTCCTCCTTCGTTAATATTATTACACTGAGCACGTGGTTGGCATGTGCATATATCTGCTTTGGATAGATGCGTTTATTACCATGATTATATTTAAATTACGTTCCCCAAACGAAGTTGGGAACATATTGTTTTTACTCTGTTTCTTATTATTATTATTATTATTAAGGTCTTCCGTCTTCACGGAAGACCTTATAGTGATTCTATTCGTTTCTTATTATTATTATTAGGTCTTCCGTCTTCACGGAAGACCTTATAGTGATTCTACTGTTTGATCATTATTTTTTTTGACGAAAATTTTGTGCAGGCGATTTCTCGAGAACTATTCAGCGGTTTTCAATGAAATTTTCAGGAATTATGGTCATTATATGA